TGTTTATTTGGCAGTGCGGCCTACGCTCCTACAAACTGTAGTACTGATTCGGTGAAAGATGAATTCTATCGCCAACTGACCGCGCTTTCTGGTTACAGAAAAAGAACGGACACTGTACTGCTGGCCGGCAGTCCAAACGCCAAGTTGAAATATTGTCCACTTATGAACTGAATCAGAGCGGCCAAAACGGTTTTGGCTCCCGTAATGATAACGGTGAGCAGTTGGTACACCTGTGTGAAGAACCCCGTCTCTTCCTCACGAGCACTTTCGACACAACACCCGCAGAAGAGTGACTTGGCGCCCACCAGCCATGAACGCAAATCGGTGTCATTGCGCTGAGTTGGACGATGTGTCAAAAACTGTCGCTCAATTTGGAGCACGAGCGTAGACTCCCCGACCACACTCTTATGTGTGCCGATCTTCAGGTGCGTTTCGGCGGACGTCCGCAACGGCGCTGTGAGCGCAAAGATATTTGCCAAGTGGCGAAATCAAATGTTCTGAATGCGTATCATAGTACGCTGGCATTCGAGCTGAGTAAACGCTTACTGAACACAGTTGAAGATCACTGGTCGCATTTTCGCCAGGCGTTAATATCAGTAGGCATTTCTTTGGAACAAATTAAATTGTCAACCTAGAACTTAGGTCTTTACGCAATCTCTGGAACATATGGTTGCTCGCCACCGTACTCCGGCTGGTAGCGAACACAAAGTGACTCGCAAAGACTTCATGGCAAAACTGCTTGCTACCCTGACTCCGAAGCCTGGTAATCTCCTCGTGCGTCAGAGATGGAAGCAGCTACTGCCGTTGGTAAACATCATGTTATTTCGTCAAGTACGCGAAGCTTGCAGCTGTAGACCTGATCTTAACGAAACAGTATGCGACGAAAGTGAACAGCCGATGCACAGCTTGTCAATACGGTTGGAGTGTTGGACAGACACTTTGAAAAACAGCTTAATCAACCTGATTTATCACCTTTTCCGGACATTGATTGCCTTTCACACTATGTCTTCTTTTTGGATCCGCTCTCACGCGCAGAATTGGAACGTGAGATCTGACTGTTGAAACTACACAACGCCGCAATGTCAGATAGACTTCCCCCAGCTTTCTTAGTACTCGGGAGACTTGCTTTTTGTAGATCACTTACACGATTTACTAGTGAATCTGGGAGCAGAAAACTGCCTCAGCAGACTGGAGCCGCTCCGTAATTTATCACAGTATTAAAGGAATCATTCTGTTCTCCATCGTCTCCAAATTATTTGTCTCTCACCCTTCACAAACTGACTAGCATGTGTGAAGGTCAGACGCTTGAGGAGCAAGCTGGGAAATCGAGGCTGCGTCGAGGACATCTTAATTTGCGTCAATTGTTGGAGCACCATCATATTTGCCGGTGACCCACTATAATCGCGTTCTTCGACATCAAAAGTGTCTTCCATTTAGTGGGTCGATGTGCCCTTTGAGACTGCTTACTCAGGAAAGATGTGCCCGAAAATACGTAAGCATTATGTGTGCGCTTTATTCGCACAGTTCGGGCAGACTAAGTGATTGCGGCAATCTGTCCATCTTTTACTATATCTCCAGCGCTGTGATTAGGTTGCCCGCTGCGATCATCATCATCATCATTATACACATCAGCTAGAGGTGGGAAAAACACCTCCGCTATTGTGCCGCAATACATGAAGGAAATACATACATAGATACAATACAATACACAAAGGAGAAGTAGATACAACAGTTGCATGCCAGCTGAGCTACCAGCAACGGATAGGCATCGTTCCGGTAAGCTTCCAGCTAGCTACTAGGCAAAAAGAAAAAAAATATTATGTTTTACTCTAGGAAATGAGATCGTAGATGGATGGGGAGGCTAAAAGGGATGGGCAGGGACAAAGAAACTCACAGCATGAACGCCACTGAGGTCGGCTCCTTGCCATGTCAGCAAGTGTATCCAGCCAAACGTGTTCACCGTCTTTTGCACCCCAACCAGGGAGCCGTGAAGCTCCAACCGAGGCTAGCTCCGAGGTGAGGGACTTCATTCCCCTGGACCAAGTCATCGCTTGGCCACCTCTCCTCTTCTTCCACCCACATCCCCGGTGAGCAAACAACGCACGTCGAGGGAGTCGGTGGGCTGGCATGCGCAACACGTGGCCCAGCCATCGGAGCCTGGTGCGGGAAATAACGGTGCTGAGCGGTTCAGATCCTTTTCCTGGGCCGTAAACAATGCGCCCGCTGCGATTGACTAAGTCATGGAAATTGCGTTCACTGGACACACTTTTGTGGTGTGTAGCTGCTCCCAGGTGATCGACCAAGGGCGTTTGTGCTGTGAGTTTCTCCGTCCATCCCCCTAACCTTTAAATTCCTACTCCAATTACAATCTGATACCAAACACATCATGTGATATTTAATTTATGTATTAATAGCCTTTTGAGGTTTATTGTAGCCTGTAATTTTCAGTTCCTTGTCATTTTTGCATTGCGGCACATTTCTGAGGTGGTTCTCACTCTCAGCAAAGATGTATTGGTGATGATTGACACTGTTTAGAAAAAGCAAGTGACAGGTGCACTGTTGACCTTAGCACTAAACATTTTTCGTTCTCTCAGACCTAAACCTCAGTATCACAATTAATTGGGCTTCTGAGGAGCTGGCGTGGCCCACTTGTGTGTTCTTATCCGCAGCAGTTAGCTCCATATCTGAACTGCTGGAACTAAAAGCTAGATAGCGGATTTGGCAGCATCATGTTTACAGTCATTTATAGCGTAAGTTCGCAAACAACGTTTAGCATATCTTAGTTAATGTTATCAAACAGACTTCACACACAGATGGTCATTCACGAGAACCCAGTCAAGTAGAGGGCTTAGCTGTGAGACTGAGAACAAACCCCAACGCGTTTGTTCCGCGATTGCTTTATATTGGCTTGCGCTGGCGCTTGGACCAGCTAACGAGTGGATGTGCTTAATGCATTTGGATAAATAACGATGTGCGAATGTGAATGGCCGCACATATTAGATACTGGTGTCCCATGTGTGTACAGGCATATTCTGTTATCTCTTAGGATACCAACACTCATTACCTCTAAATGTGAATATATAGCTCAACAAGTGGTTTTGTAGTTAGGAAGATATTTAGCACTGTGACACTAATGCAATTAGTTAAACTTCACCGGAAGTACTGCTATTACACTCGGGACGACTGATTGAGGGCAAATGTTTGGAGTCGTGAGTGGCATAAGAGGTTAAAAAGTAAGGAAAGCATGTGCAATAGTTTGTTTTCACTTATTGGATCTGTTGCGGATGACAGGTAGGACGTCTCTTTCGAGACCGCACGACTACCGACACCGGACGAATCTAAGTTTGATGGTTGTGATATTGCTAGGACGCCCAAGTCTGAACAGGAGAACGACCAGTGTGCTTGCCAAATAATAATGAATGATATAATAATAATGTATGTTGTACACCGTAACGGCGCATCGTTGCCGCGTGACCACCATCAGTCGCGCGCGGTCTGAATGTACTGCGAGGACGCCCGCCCCTAAGCGTATTCGGATCGGTGACTGACCTGGTTGCCAAATGCCCTGAACCGAACAGCATAACGACAAGAATGTGAAGAGTTGGCAGTTGTTCGCAGTTCGGTTATTCTCACTGAAATGGGCTTAATTTGACTTCGACTCCCTGGAGTGCCGCACGGTTGTTTATCTGACCTATGGCTATTGACTTAACTGACCAGGGCGTTCTACCGATCAGTAACCGACGTTGCATTTTCACATTCGAATGTTCGTTGAAAAGACAATTCACTACGAGACGGATGATTCCTTATGGACCTTTGTAGCCGCTTAGATCACTCCATACATGCTTGATTTTACTGTTCATTGAATTGTCTTTAATCACTGGTGCTGCGGGGAACATATGGACGATGTCTACTGTTATTCCCATTCCTCAGCGATCTCACTAACCTCTCTGATATTTAAAATTGTTTTACTCGGTTGGACTGTAAGTTGCTGCTTCGGAGAACTTTAAAAAGCTTAAACCAACACTTATTGTTCGCGTATGTTCTAGAGTCAAAGTCGCTGGGAATTTACAGAGATTTAGCTTCTACGACAGTGGTTCTCAATCTGGAGGTAATTACTCCCAAATGAGTAGTGGTATTTTACTAGAGTGAATATAATTACGAGGATTGGGTTATCAATCTGTCGTCAAAATCAATAGCAAGATCTCTATAAAAACGGAACTAACTACCCAATCACTGTTTTTTAGCCAACAGTGTCTAATCATTAGTTAGTAGTCAGTGAGTTAGACAATTATCAGTAGGCTTTTATTAACTAAAATACGAATACAGTCTTGCAAAGCAGCGCAGCTAGATGGCGACTCCATCGGCTCGCTCGTCAATTCTTGTTCTTTTGAGTGAGGAATTCGTTCCCCGGATCGAATTACAAAGTTGGGTGAACACCAAGGTGGAAGCATAGATCAACCGATCAGGTAAGGAAACGAGCGAATGTTTACAAGGTAGAAGGGACAAAATAGGCGATTAGTGTTCAACACATATTGATACAGCGTGTTGGTGGTGGGAAGCTGGTATCAAGGAGGGAGTTGGAAGGAATGGTTGAAACACTTAGAAGCCACTGACATGTGCTCATGTTTGCATAGGGATTTCACACCAAAGCAAAGAAACAAATTAACTTGGAGCAGGACTTTCCATGTGCATTAGCCGATATCACGCCACAAATATCAGAGCTTGTTGTAACCTAGTAACATCAACCGTCCCATTAACGCAACTCACCTATGAATTTAATGAAATACTGTTCAAAATAAGTGTTTTCTTCATGTGCATGATAAGTAAATAACAGTATTTGTTTTCCGAAACTAAATGCAATAAACTATAGGTACGTAGCTTTTAAAAGTAAACTTTGGTGGAGGCAATCGTTTATAGTGAGCCCGCTCTGTGGGTAACAGCCACAAAAAGGTTGAGAACCACTGTTCTACAAGCTCAGAATAACATCGGTCGTTTCTCTTTCAGGTACCTACCCTGGCTTCTTTGCGGCCAGCTCTCCCTTCCGTATCCCCATGCAGGAACGGATTAATTTTATGGACTTTAACTGGGACACCTATGATTTGAAGAACAAAACCATTCGTTTTACCAATTGTTTCATCTTGCAGGGAGAGGAATTGATCTCCGATTATTTGTGGATACGTGACGGTGTAATCGCTGACGGACTATCACTTTTTTACACACATAAGCTGACTGCCGATATCACTATCGATGCGGGAGGTGCCGTAATAGCCCCTGGTTTTATTGATATACAAGTGAACGGTGCTTACGGCCATGATTTCTCCAATCCAGAGCTGGACACCTGTGAGGTCTGTCGTGAAGTCGCGTTGAGGCTCCCACATACAGGGGTCACAGCATTTTGCCCCACCATTATAACATCAGATAAACAGACATATACCCAGATTATATCACGCTTTGCCCAGTACGTAGATCAACCAAATTGTGCGCAGATGCTCGGCCTTCATTTAGAGGGACCATTTATCAGCAAGCTCCGACGTGGAATGCACCCAAAAAATCGCATTTTGGAGTTCGGGCCTGATCCAGTCAAGGTAAGACGCAATTTTTTCGGGGTAGGAGCTTAGACACTTTTAGACACATACGGCCGCAATTTAGACATCATACGAATAGTGACCATAGCGCCTGAGATTGATGGTTCCAGTGGTGCAATAACAGAACTCATCTCGTGCGGTGTGGTTGTTTCTATCGGACATACTGATGCAGATTGTAAAGCATTGGAACGCGCGATCGCATCCGGGGCCACCCTATTGACCCACTTATTCAACGCCATGCCAATGTTTCACCACCGGCACTCGCATCTACTCGGAGGTATAATAAAGCCGCTGTCTTCCTTACATGTGGGCATAATCGCCGATTTAGTTCATGTGCACCCAGCGGCACTACGGTTGGCTGACGCGCTCGCTCCAAGACGAGTCATCTTAGTTACAGATGCAAACACCGCTTTCGGACTGGGCGACGGATCCTATACTTTTGGAGAACAAAATATTGAAGTTATCAAAGGAGTGTAAGTTTTTGAATCGTTTAGCTGTGTTTTGTTTTAGTTGCCTTACTACGATTGGGGCTTTTTGTTCATAAGCACCCGGTTAACGATGGTACCATTGTTGCTTCTGAAATGAGCAGGCTTGGTATCTGGAGATGTCGAAATGCGTTAAGCCTAACGTTGACTATCTTTTGGTTCGTTTGATGTTAGATTGAAACGCCAACAGTCTGTCAGTTATACTATACTCTGGTGCACTTTTTATCGGTGTCTTTCGTATCTTTTAGGTGAGTGCAATGCCGATTTGGTATCTAAAGCTAAATGGATGCGTCTCTTGTACTTGTTCGATAGCGCCTCGGGACGTTTGTGCTGGAGCTTAAAGCCGAGATTACTGTAATGCACACCACCATTTTTGCCATTTACCATCATGGTGAATATTGACATGAGTTAAATAGATGGTAACTTACTTGCTGTAGGAGCCACACAGTCACATGGCCAGATAGGGCATGGAAATGCGGGCGAACCCATCGAGGGAGTAACCCGTATGGAAGCAGGTCCCCAGAAGACGGTTCCATGAATGGCCATATTACTTCATTTATACATTCGGACTTACACTATTACACTTATTATTTTTTAACAAACAATCTTCCAAAAAGCTTTAACTGATCAATAAGCCCCATTCGTCAAAAATTAGTTGGAGAACTGCTTTAGAGTTTCGAAAAATAAAACAACTTTTAACTCCGCCGTACATCAAGAATCGTAATATCCAATTGTACTGTACCTCTCACCGACGAGACATATACCGTTGTTTTTTATTCGCCACAACTTAACACTGCTCATGAAAAAGCATGGCACCACTTGTACATACATGATCTGTGCCAAATACGGACGCAGCTTCTCACTTAAAGAGATATACATGTTATTGTTATTATTATAACCCTTCATATCATCGGAAGCCCATTCAAGCCCACACGCAAGCATCACATCCCAGACTTCTTCCGAGCGGCTGATTAACACTGTAACCTAATCGGAATAGGTCGCGTCAGTGTGATATTGTTCTTCACCCGGCAACCTTTACGTCAATTTCGGGTATTCCTTATTACTCGTGGCAATGTCACCGAATTTTACCCAATTGTCTTTGTGTTCGATTAAGACACCGACGACAAAGCAGTACATGTCCCACTGTCTATACAAATTTACCTGTAACTGTGGAGGCAGCTACGTCAGGCGCACTAACCGAAGTATTGGTTTCAGAATCAATAAACATCCCAAAATGGTTACGCAGCCTCATTGGATCTGTGACGAACGAGTCATTCGACTTAGGAAACCCAGCTACCTCAGCTGTCACCAGGCACTTGCCGAGTACTGGCGACCGAGTCAATCTTGATGAGTCGTTCACGGTCTTAATGCGGGATCGGCGGCCCCAAATCCTTAGGCTATTGGATGTTTTCGTTATTGATCGCGAATGACCACTGCTTTGCATACAAAAACAGTGGCTCTAGGTCTGCCGTGGTAGCCTTTGATTCTTGCTATCTATGACAACTGTTTCTTTATGTTCCAACGTTGCATGTTTTTGTGATCGATAAGAATGCACGAAATGACAGCGTCATCTCAAAATCTACGTCTTCTGATTTTTATGTTTGGATTTGTAACAAGCGAAATGAATGTCGACTAGGATCACGTTCAAGGATTTGTGGAAAAGATTTTCAGAACGGAATTAATCACCAGAACCATTGAGTAAACTTCTGGTGCCTTGTTTGGGTTTTTCATTCACAAAGCATGCCTTCACGGAGTTGCCATTTAAATTGTTTGGAACGTTGTGAAAACACTGTCTGATTATAGGCCCTGTAGGACTAGTTAATACTAGTCCGAGACGATGCGCGGAATTAAGCGCGGATATCAGAAGGCAATTGGAGTCGGACACAGCGGACTGTATTCGATGGGCTACAACAAGAAGCGGACGGATGAAGCGAGGCAAGAGCGTACACGTGAGCGCGGGGACTTACAAGGCAGTTGTGTGTCGAGCCGGTTGTAAGATTAAAACAAGAAGGAGTAATGTACAATCGGTCAACAAGTAAATTGTACACGAAAGATAAGAGTTATCTTTTTGGGCGCTACAGAGCTCCCCCCCTAGAAGGCTGAACATAGAAAGCCTTCGAAATCGAAAAGGAATGTTGAAACGAGGTTCGTAAGGCGAAATCGTGCCGAGTAAAAATGGGCGTGCGTTCGTGTAAATGGGGGTTCGTCGGAAGTCGGAGTCCGCTGTGCCGTTTATGATTCGTTATTTATTGAATGCAGGGCAGGGTGCATTTCGGCGAGCCGTTGGAGCGGGCTTGTCGGACTACAAAAAAACTGGCTAGTCCAGAAAAAGGCCGACAGGACCTCAACCTCCGCTGCTGCCAAACGGTGCGCTTGGGAGTGGTCTCTCCCCCCGCCGCACCCCGCCCCGCGCCAAAGCGACCCTCGTCCCACGAAGAAAACGACCACGGTCCCACGGAGAAGCGACCCTCGTCTCGCGGAGAAGCGATCCTCGTCCCGCGGAGAAGTGACCCTCGTCTCGCGGAGAAGCGATCCTCGTCCCGCGAAGAAGCGATCCTCGTCCCGCGGAGAAGCGATCCTCGTCCCGCGGAGAAGCGACCAGTGTTCGCGTCAGGGTCCTCGAAAACATTCCTCGTGTGGGCCAGTCGATCGAAGGGGAGGGTTGGGGCATGTAAAGACGAGAAAATAGAAAAACACGCGCAGAAAACGCCAAAAAGAACAAACGAATGAGCTGCGTGTTTAAATATTTTTTGGTTTTTGAATATTTTTTTTGAAAAAGGTTTTTCGGGGGTTTTTGATATTTTTGTTTGTTTTCAAAACGTTAATCGACCAAAAATGAGGCAAATATATACAATATCTACAAAGTTAAAAGTATTTACACTGTACATAGTCGGAGAAGCGGACGGGCTTACGCACCTCCCGACCACGGCGATTGGTCGTGGGAGGCGGCGGGCTAGATTCGGGAGAGGTTGGGACGGCTTGCAGACCGAGATCGTGGTCTGGTTGAACTGGACTAGGATGATGTAAGTTGGTGCGATGAGTTGCAACGTCGCACGAAGCACTACTAGACGAAGTAGGCGAGGGGTTTTCTTCCATAAAGGCGGGTTTTAGACGGTCGATGGTGACGACTTCGTGTCGACCACCGCGGTCAATAGTGTACGCCTTACTCGCACGATGCAGCACCTTGAAGGGTCCTATGTACGGCGACTGAAGAGGCTGTCGAACACCGTCTGCGCGAAGAAGGACGTGTGAACACGTAGACAGCTTCTCGGGCACGTACACTGGTGTCTTCTGCGATCGAGGAGCGGGTGGACGTAGCTCACGCATCTGGTGAGCCAATCGGTCAGTGTAACTTCCGTAGTCAAAAGTGGAAGTACATGGGGCTGGTGCTACCAGCTGTCCGGGCAACCGCAGCGTGCAACCGTAGACTAGCTGCGCTGGTGTGGCGTCGAAGTCAGTCTTAACCGTGTTTCTTAAACCTAGGAGAACGAGGGGAAGCGTTTCAGACCATGAAGGATCTGCGTGCGCACGTAGCGCTGCCTTCAACTGGCGGTGAAAACGCTCCACCATGCCGTTAGCGGCCGGATGATACGCTGTCGTCTGAACGTGGCGACAGCCTAAATCCTTAAGCAACGTGGCAAACGTTGACGAAAAATGCGACCCTCGATCGGTGGTCACGATGGCGGGACAGCCGTATTGAGCTACCCAGCGCTCCATAAAAGCTTTCGCTACTGTTTCCGAGGAGCAATTTGGGATAGGGACGGCCTCAGGCCATCTAGTAAATCGATCGATGCAGGTCAGTAGATATACCGAGCCTTTGGAAGGCGGCAGAGGACCTACGAGGTCGACGTGCACGTGATGAAAGCGTGCGTCTGGCGTCGGAAAAGTGCCTAATGGGCTTCTCGTGTGCTTGTGCACCTTCGCGCGTTGACACGGAAGGCAAGCAGCTGCCCAGGTACGGACGTCCCGATTAACATTGCGCCAAACGAATCGTGCGGTTACGAGTTTAACCGATGCACGAACGCCTGGATGAGACAAGCCGTGCAACGCGTCGAACACGGTCTGCCGAAACTCACGTGGGACGACTGGGCGCGGCGTGCCCAGAGATAAATCGCACAGTATAGTGCCGTCTGATGATGTCAGCGGAACGGGTCGTATATCCAATGAGGGAGACCTGCGTAGTAGTTCAACCTCAGGATCGTTGAGTTGTGCTGTGGCCATGGCTGCCAAGTCGATAGCAGTGCCGGCGTCAGCGGAGATAGCTTGAATGCGGGAAAGTGCATCGGCGACGGCGTTGTGCACACCTGAGACATGCCGTATATCGGTCGTAAACTGAGCGATATAGTCAAGGTGGCGCGACTCTCTAGGAGAGTATCGGTCGGTAGTCGAGCCGAGCACGTAAGTTAGGGGTTTGTGGTCGGTGAAGACGACAAAGGAGCGGCCTTCTAGGACGTGTCGAAAGTGACGTATCGCTAGATATACGGCAAGTAGTTCTCTACCGAACGTGCTGTAGCGAGATTCGGTAGGTTGTAGGCGTTTGGAGAAAAACGCTAAGGGCTGCCACGTGTCGGCTACGCGTTGCTGCAAAACAGCGCCGACCGCGACGTCCGAGGCGTCAGTACTAAGGGACAGTGGGGCGGTCGGATCGTGATGCGCTATGGAAGCTATGTTGGCGATAGCCTCTTTCAGCGACTTAAAAGCAGCGCGTGCTGCGGTAGGAAATTCGAACGTCTTGAGTTTCCCTCGGAGAAGGTCCGTGAGGGGTTGCATCAGAGAGGCGCAGTTGGGTATAAATCGACGGTAAAAGTTGACCAGGCCATCAAAACGCCTGAGCTGTTTGAAAGAATGAGGCTCGGGGTAGTCGATAATGGCTTGAATTTTATCTTGCAGTGGCACGACGCCTGCAGAAGAGATACGATGGCCCAGGAAATTAACTGAATCGACACCAAACGAACACTTTTCTGCGTTGATCGTCACCCCGTGTTGAG